CATACAAAGTAAAAAAAAATGCAGTAAAGTACACTTACTTTGAGGTGTGCATGTAGAAGTCTCTTGGTTGATGATGATAGGAATTAAAATTGGGGGTGGAGGAGAAGGGAGAAGAGAAGGAAGTGGGGGTGGAAGAGAAATCACCCCATGCTTGATGCCGTCATTTCACCCATAAAATATTAAGTTCACTAGGTGTAATTCAAGATTATTTTCTTTAAATCAACCCTGCACTGCACTATATATAGTCAATATGTTAAATAAATTTCAGAATGACCAATAATTGTACTGTAAAAATGTAAAAATGGGCTGTGTTCAAGAGACCCACAAGCAAGATGTTTCCTCCACTGAACAGAGATACAAACCGAGGCCTTGGTGGGTGAGTGAAGTGGCTGATGGGCGCACCAAAAACAAGTTCCCTGTACTGCAATTATGTTAAATAAGTGATAAAATGACTAAAAACTTTAATATAAAACTTAGAAAATTATTAAATAGTACAACCTTCTTGGTATTTACTCCAATTTTAACGAATGTAAGCCCTAGAACCGATTCCTGTATTGGCGGACTAATCTTCCAGCTGGTGAGCAAGCCAAAGCATGTCGAAACATTTTCGTAAAAATTTCGTTAACCAAATTTTTGCTCGTTAACCGAAATGAAGATTCTTATGGAAGATAATTCGTTAACCGAGGTGTTCGTTAAGCGAGGGATCAATGTAATTGTCTTAATTTATTTTTACTCATTTACATGTACACACCATCCTACATACATATTGTAGAAAAAAAGTAAAGAAATAATTGTCCTAAGGGCAAAGATATAAAGGGAATATACATTTCTTTGCACACAAATTAGATGGCTCAGTGAAGGAGAGGAGGAGGGCGCAGAGTGTAGGAGGGGGGGGGGCATTGCTCGGGAGACTGCAAAGGTTGCGTTGCTATGGTGAAAAAGGGAGTGTATGCAAATGGTGATTGTGTTAAACTTTCATTTGGATTTTATTTACTGGTTTGGGAATACAGGTTGACAACCCTTTATTCGAAATTCCGATAACTGAAAAGCTCTGACAACCAAAAGTTTTTTTTTTTACGGGTATTAGCCCACCCGGGCACAGGTCACTGACCCACATCGGGGCCTGGGGGCAAAAATGTAATAGTAAGAACAATTATAATAATAATAAAAATAATAATAATAAAAATAATAATAATAAAAATAATAATAATAATAATGATAATAATAATAATTATTCATAGTAAATAAAAATTGTAATAAAAAATACACAAAAATAAAATAAGAATAAGAATAATAATGACAAAATTAATAATAATAATAATAATAATAATAATAATAATAACAATAATACTGTAATAATAAACTAATAATAACAATAATAATAAAGAAATACAAGAATGAAAAAAGATCAAAAGTGAGAAACACGACCTAGACCTATGAATTATTAATATTATTATCATTATTATAATTATTATTATATTTTAGCCCCCAGGCCCCAATGTGGGTCAGTGACCTGTGCCTGGGTGGTCTATCCCTGTAAAAAAAAAAGAAAAAAAAAAAGAAAAAAAAAAGTTTTTTCTAAAAACCAGTTTTTGTGATATAACTCGGAATGCGATGTCAGCATATGTTACCTAGGTATGTTAATTCCTAGCCAATTCGCCAGGCCAACATACAGGCAATTAAAACATCTAATAATTACTTAATACAGTCGACCCTTGTTAATTCGGACTAATAGGGGGGAAAGGGTGTCCGTTTTAGCCGATTGTCCGAATTAACCGATTAAGGGGTTAATATTGCATAGTATTGCATTATATTTCAAAGAAAATGCAATGAGTTTGTCCTTAGCCTTGCATATGTCCGAAACTGTTTGCTTTTTAACACCATACTCGACACAAACTCTAGCCACTGAAGCACCAGCCTCTAACTTCCTTATAAGTTCCAGTTTCTGGTTCACAGAAAGGGTCACATACTTCCTCTTCGGCGTATTAGAGGTACTCCCCCTTGAAGACATGATGTAAAATACAAGGCTGAAAGATGTCTAATCACTGAAATATCAACGAAAATTGCAGGGCAACACAACACGGATACTCGAATAAGGCGCTAAGTCAACAATGACTGGCGGTCTGGCGCTCGCCATCTATCAGACAATCCCAGAACCAGAAATTTGATACGGACAGTCCCTCGCTTAGTTCAGATTTCGTCTGAATTATCCGAAATCCGGATTAAAGGGGTCCGAATTAACGAGGGTCGACTTTTAAGTAATATAAGGAGGACACGTCACTACCTGGCATTTAATTGCAATTCTCAAACCCCCTCCTTCACCCTCCATTATACGCATCACGACCCTCATCTCTTGCCTGGCGATTCAGCAAAATCCTAACCATTCAGAAATCCGAAAAATTCCTAAAAACCAAAATGCATCTGGTCCCAAGGATTTCGGATAAGGGATTGTCAACCTGTACAGTGTTTTCTGTTGTAACTTATATATTGGTACTACAGTGATATTCCCGTTAGCCGAAACAATTGGTGTAGAGCACTTCTGGGAATGAGTGATTTCCGGGTAACGAGACGACTCTCTAAAAGCCGGAAAAAATCTCTCATCCCCGGAATTTTCCGGGCAACGGAAATTTTTTCTCTGAATTTCCAGAAAATGTGCCTAATTTTCATCTCTCAAACCCAGAAAAAAAACCTCTCCCATCCCTGAAATTTTCCTTGTATCGGGAAAAATTTCTCGGAATTTCCTGGAAAACGTGCCCTTAGGACTTTGGATAATCGTTCCCAAAGCCAGAATTTTCCGGAAAATTCGGGCTTTGGGAACTATTTTCCGAAAAATTTAAATTTCGGCTATTGGAGAGTTCCGGGTTTGAGGGATTCTAGCTTATGGAGATATTACTGTATTTTTATTTATTCCTCATACAGTGAGTTCTGCTATAACGCGTGTTTTGATAACGCGAATTTGCTCTAACGCGATTTATGAATTCGGAACAATATTTGTATAACGCGAACGCTTGTTTGCTATAACGCGATTTTTGCTTACTATTTCTCCAATTTTGTGGTATTAACTGTGAATATGGTAAAGAAGAATATCTCCAAAAAGCGTTCTGATGATAGAATTCCCAGTGATTATCGTAAAAGAAAGGATATAACACTTGAAGAGAAGCTCGATGTTATCAACCTCAAAATCACCCTTCTCCCCCATCAAGTTACATTCATATTTTTTCAAGGTAAAGTGTTAAATTTACTGTATGATTTCATTATTAGATATGAATGTAACATTTATTTAGACTGTGCTATCCTTTGTGTTAGGCTAACTACTAAATTTTTTCGATTTCGAGTAATCTGCACATAACCCTATTTTCTCCATAAGCCCTGTTATTTCTATTACGCGATTTTCTATAACACGACATTTTACAAGAACACAATTATCGCGTTATAGCAGAACTACCTGTATTTACTGGTAGTGTATATATTATTTATTTAAGAAAACTATGGCTACAGGAGGAAAATACATACAGGTACAGTACTCCTCGACTTACGGCATACTCGACTTATGACAACCCGGACATACGACCGCCGTGGTCGTATAAAATATTTTCCAAATTACGTATTTTCTAGTACCAATGTTAGTGATCGCACTGTGAACTGACAAAAATTTTCGTTTGTAATTCCCTCTAAAATGGATGGCAAGCATAAAATGAGAGTTTTTGTGGTGCTAAGAAGAAAAAGAAACACCCTTTTTAGAATTTCTATGTAATATTTTCACCTTTTCGACTTACTACAGGTAGTTCTGCTATAACGCGATAATTGTGTTCTTGTAAAATGTCGTGTTATAGAAAATCGCGTAATAGAAATAACAGGGCTTATGGAGAAAATAGGGTTAGGTGCAGATTACTCGAAATCGAAAAAATTTAGTAGTTAGCCTAACACAAAGGATAGCACAGTCTAAATAAATGTTACATTCATATCTAATAATGAAATCATACAGTAAATTTAACACTTTACCTTGAAAAAATATGAATGTAACTTGATGGGGGAGAAGGGTGATTTTGAGGTTGATAACATCGAGCTTCTCTTCAAGTGTTATATCCTTTCTTTTACGATAATCACCGGGAATTCTATCATCAGAACGCTTTTTGGAGATATTCTTCTTTACCATATTCACAGTTAATACCACAAAATTGGAGAAATAGTAAGCAAAAATCGCGTTATAGCAAACAAGCGTTCGAGTTATACAAATATTGTTCCGAATTCATAAATCGCGTTAGAGCAAATTCGCGTTATCAAAACACGCGTTATAGCAGAACTCCCTGTACCATAATTTTGAGCAACATAACTGTACACACTTTATACTCAAATGTAATACACTAGAATAAAATTTTTATCTCTTGTGCAAACTATATGAGGTTTATACAGTACTCAAATTAATCAATATCTTACAGGGATTCCAGCAATGTAATTTATACTCTGCTAAGTCTAGTCGGCTACATTTTATAAAATAAAAACTTTCAGCCTAAAACTGAAGAGGATAAAAAATCACCCTGGCTAGGAGGAAGGCGGAGGGGGATTTGTTTTTTTGAGGTGTTGACAGCTGTCAGGGAGGGGAGAGAACAAAGTTAATGTTGTTCATTTAATAATTTTTTTTAACCTTCCCCTGTTCTTAAAATATGTACAGTACTGTACTTCCTTTTTTTTTTTCTGGTGACCAGAGCACCCCAGAGAGTCCGAAGAAAGCGAATTCCTATATAATGAAATCCAATTTATTAAGGTTTTACTGTACTTCAAATTTCTACAAATATGAATGTAAATACAGATACTTTAATTTTTAAAACAATGAATTTGAATGTGCATACGAATAAAGTGAAATACTATCGTTGAATGCACTGGAATACGAATACTACATCCCTGTAACCAACTCCTTTGAATATATAGAACAGTATAATTATAAACAGGTTTTATCTTATTGTCAGGTCTGTTTCACATTAGTTCTTTAAATAACTTACCCATAATGCATATGGCAGTATACATGGATGTTACATCACTCATGACCACTGAACCGTCAGCAGGGAGGTTACGCTTTAACCAAGTGCCACATCGAGTCTGCTGGATAGTAGGTGCTATCATCATGTAGCTGTGAAAACAACAGAAAGGAACTGTTTTAGACAATAATATTACAGAATAGAGGATACAAATTGCAGATTTTTGTATCATGATACAGCTTAAAATGATATTTCAACTAAATCTTGAATAATGCAAAAAGAACTATATTTACTTACTGGTTGGGAGCAATACGAGCTAATGAACAGTCATTCTCATACCCTCCACATGAATTTTGCATCCCAGTGTGTATAATACCCCCAACTGGTATATCAACATCATTACTACACAGATACTGCATAGCTTGTACTACTTCACTTCCTTTTGACTGAAATGAAATGTAACACTGTAGTTAGAAAAATAGGTTTAATATTTGCACATATGTCTAGATGTTTAAGAGGCAAGTGTATCATAAAAATAATTATTTAAGAATGTAGAGGTACACCTGCTAAAAAAAATATATCTTTCAGGAGGGGTCCGATGAATTTCAAACTGAACAATCCTCACACAGGGCTACCAATGCGAGGTATGCCTTAGGGGCCTTTATCAAAAACCTTCATTAGTGGTGTATTTTACCGAGTGCACCTCACTTTATGATCCTTCATTACATATCTGTAGTATTTATGACACCTCAATCCCTCCCGGAACGTATCTCGAGAAAGAAGCCATGACAGAAAAGAATTTAAGCTGTCCTCTCTAATTATGCTGTTCTAGCCTACCAAAATGTACCAGTAACCTTTTCCTTAAGTATTACTTCACTGTCCTATCAGGAGGCTGGCTGGCTAAAACTAGCCTCTTTTATTTCACTCAAACCTTTTTTCCCCAATCTTATCAACCACCTTAAGGTAATTCTAATCAACTTGATTAGGAGTTGATTTGATTAATTGATTGATTGTAGTAATTACATCCCTGGCGATGCAACAGCTTAGGTCATATGTCACCGAAATAAAATTAAGGATTAACAGACTAAAATAGAATAACGCACGTTAAAAACACATCACAGCTCAAGGTTGAAGAAGCCGCAAGTCCAGAAAACTGTGAGGACGAACTTTTTTGGAGTGAGAATTGTGAACTCTTAGCACAACCTGCCAGAGTGCTGTGATGGCACTGAGTGTGAGCTGTTTCAGGACCAGACTTAACCAACAATGGAGCAGGTTCAGATATATTCAGGAGCCAGTATGTGCCCAGTACTTGGCAACAGTGTGTAACAGAGACATGACCAACCGCCCAAGCGGCTAACGAGCCGATCAGTGGTGAAGATAAAAAAAAGAAAAAAAAAAGTATCTTCTACCTTTGGTTTTCTTAACCCATAAGGACGGCAGACATCGTATGATGTTTAGGTTTTTTTGCGCCATTGTTTGACTGCACTAGTGGCTGTGTTGTTGTCTAGTTACTATGAAAACATTGGTGGTTCACTCCAGAGCCTGATAAACATGTAATCCCAGTTCAACTCATGATTTCTACAAGAAATTAATATTTCTCATATTTATTGGCTAAATATTAATTTGTAGAAAGACAATTCAGCTTTCTAATTTGAAAAAAAAATCTAAATTAAAGCAGGTTCTACATATATTTGAACAACATTATCCTACGTGATTTGCTCCAGTTTCTACATGGCGAAATACACCCTGTCCTGGGTGGGTAGCACCCTTAAACCCCAGGTGACATTCCTGAATGTTCACTTAGGTGACCCTGGGTGACGTTCTTGAATGTTCTTAACTTCTGCAGCATATTTTGAATGTCCAGGCAGGGGGAAATACTTTTTATGAGATATATTTCTAATTGGCAACTCAACTCACATGAATGTCTCCAGACTCGTGCCTCATGGTCACTTAGCCGCCAGATATTGTGAGGGATGCATCTCCTTAGACCTCTCTTATAACCCACTTCACTCCTTCACACTCAAGCACATGCGATTTGTTGATTCATTTTCGGAATTACATCCCTGGTGATGCAAGAGCTAAGATCATATGTCACTAAATTAAAAAAAAGCTTAAAAACTAAAATCAAATAATGCAAGGTAAAAAAACAAGTACAGTACTTTCGCGCTTCACGTTGTCTCGCTTAACGCTGTTTCGGTACTACGTAGCTGAGCTTTAGAGACCAAAAAATAGTTTAATGTCCCGGTGATCCGATACTACGTCGATTTGTGTCGTCACGTACTACTTTCTACAGCATATCACCCGCTCGTCTGGCCGTGCTACGCTCTCTCGGCTCGGTGCGCTGCCTTCACTCACGGAACCTCACAGCGTCCCCAAGCGACGCCAAGCCGGTCTCTGTTAAGACTTCACATCATTCATGTGTGCTTGTGATTTTACTCTAAAACTGTACTTTAACCATTCGAAATGGCTTCCAAGCACCCATCAAGTGCTACTGATGCTAGTGTAGTGAAGAGGCAACATAAGACCATTACCCTTGCTACGAAAATGGATGTATTAACCCAATTTGAAAAAGGGGAGCGTGCTGTGGACATAGTCGCTGTGCTTGGTCTAACCCCCACAATGGTGCATACTATCCGAACCAACACTGACAAGATTAAGGATAGTGCTGGAAGTGGTTCTTTTCTGAGTGCTACTAGGACGACTCAGAGTAGAAGCACTGTGATAAAGAAGGTGGAAAAGATACTGGCAATGTGGATGGAAGACCAGAATCAACGCAATGCCTCTGTGAGCCTTATGGTTATCCAGCATAAGGCCAGATCCCTGTTTGACGACTTAAAGGCAGAAGAGGGAGAAGGATCAAAGGAAGAGACCTTTAAATCAATAATCTTAAAATGAATCGCTTGAAATCGACGTTCTACTGTACTGTAGTTCTATAGTATACTATTCTCTTTAGAAATAGCAATGATTTTCTGTTTATGTAACTTTTTTCATGGGGCAAAGAGAGGTTCAGGAACGTAACTCCCATATTTTATCTATTTCTTTTGGGGAAAATTGATCCGCTTAATGTTGTTTCGCATAACGTCGCGATTTCAGGAACGTAACCCCGACGTTCAATGCCCTGTAATAAATAACGTAGAAATTTCATAAAAGCTATTTAAACATTAAAGAAGACATCCACTCCCATGCTACCCACTCCCCCACAGGCATTTGCTTGACAGTAGTACTGTTCATCAAGAGTTTCTTGACTTGAGTGACGAAGACAATGATGGGAAGGAAACAGAACCCAGATGATGTCGCGTTTGCTGAGGCGGTGAGGACAGCGATAGGACTACAGACAATGGCGCTCCCTCCTCCTCCCCACACCACCAACCACCGTGAAACAAGGCACAAATATATGGCTACTTGGTACAATGAGTGTGGAATTGCCTTGCACATTCCATGTTACAAAGACTTCCACACAAACAAGAAGTTCTTAATTCAGTCAAAGTACAGTACGTACATGTAAATAGCGTATACAGCGATATCTCCGTTAGCTGGAACAATTGGTGCAGAGCACTTCAGGGAATGAGATATTTCTGGGTAACGGACGACTTTCTCAAAACTGGAAAATATCCCTCATTGCTGGAATTTTCCAGGTAACGGGAAAATTTTCTTGGAAATTCCAGAAATTGCGCATTACATTGTCTCTCAAACCCGAAAAGAAATCACCAATCCCCAGAATTTTTTCGGGTACTGGAATTTTCTCAGAATTTTCAACAATGATGCATTATTTAATCTCTCAAAGCCAGAAAAAAAAATCCCCCATTCCCAAAACTTTCCGGGTAGCGGCAAATTTTTCTCGTAATTTCTGAAAATGCCCGATTTTCATCTCTCAAACCCGGAATAAAAATCCCCCATCCCTGGAATTTTCCAGGAACAGAGAAAATTTTCTCATCATTTTCCAGAAAATGTTCCCCTCAGAAAATCATTCTGAAAACAGTAATTTTCCGAAAAATTACGGTTTTGGGAATGATTTTCCAAGAAAATTTAAATTCCAGCTATCGGAGTTCCAATTTAGAGGAATTCCGGCTAAAAGAGATATTATATTTGAAAACAGTGACAAGTTTTGGGCTGCCTGAATAATCCTACTGTTCAGTATTTTATACAGTATAGTCTGGGTTTACGCTGATATTTTATACGCATTTGGCCATTTACGTGGCACCTGTCCAGACGCGCCAATTATTAGTTACGCGGTACATTCCTTAATTTACGTGGCAAGCGGCGGGCAAGGTGCTGGGCACTGACGTCACCGCTGATGTCAGACTCGTGCCGATGACGTCGCAGACTGTGTTTGCGCCACATATCCTTACCACCCACGCACCCCCTCCGCCGAGCGCTGTGATTGGTCTATTTAACCTTGCTTGCCCAGTCAACAAAACATTACCGAGTTCTTCACCCGTCACCCACCACAGCCAGCCCAAGTCAGTGATAGTGAGGATATGGACTTTGAGGGGTTTGACAAGGAGGCCCTGCTAGCCTCTGTGGTGGATAGTGATACAGGTGATACAAGGATACAGGTGAAGGCCAATAATCTGCCCTCTGCCTCGAAACCAACCCCCCATCCCCGTGTGCCCAGCCATCTCTTCTACTAACGTAAGTGTTAAAAACCAAATATTATTGATATTTCTCTTAAATATTAATTGTGTGTGCATACCATCATAAAATTAAGATGTTATATTTACTACAACGAACGTATTGTGTCGGAAAAAGGGTAGTCTGGCGGTACGCCCAGTCTCTATTTCAATTAATCCCATATGTTCAGTTATTTTATTTACGCGTTTCGCGTTATACGCGGACCTCCATGGGTTTAATTGACCGCGTAAACCCAGACTATACTGTAGTTCTTTTAAGGAAAATATAAATATTTTGCATTTTGTCATAACTATAAGATAAAAATATGATATAAAAGTGCCTTCAAGTGAGAACTGTGTGTTGCAAGTACAGTATGCCAACATCACTTCACGTTCACTGTGCACAATAGCTTCAAATAAGACATCTTTCATCACTCCACACTGCTCCAGACAACTCTCCAACCATGCTATAATGGATGTTGAATGTATGTAGATTATTTTGGTATTTTTCTTATATTGATTAAATCATTTATATGGTGACAACGGTGTTTTAAACAAAAGTGTTTTTTACCAAAATATGCCAACATGGGGGTTTGGTGGGTTTTAAGACGCCTGGGGTCTAAGGGTTAAGTCATTTCATCTCCAATGCACCTCACAACTACTGATTCCCTTCCATCCAGTAATATTTGCCCTTTATATAATTCACCTCATGGTATAGGTCAGATGAATTATTCTGTCCCTCAGATATTTCTTTACATCCTCCAAGAATCCAGTTACCAATTTTTATACCTCAATCTTTCTTTATCAATCATTGTGATACATTTGCCCCATATTGACCCTAAATATAAAACAGCAAACCCTCACATACTGCACACACTATAGCTGTAATTTACATAAACACAATGAATGAGTAATGGACAATGTTTTCTCATGGGTCTCTTTGCAAAATGGAGTACTGAACCCAAAACTTGTCCAATTTGTGAATCACATACAGTATCACTTGTGGTGGGGTGGAGAAAGTAGCATATCTAGACTCATCTGTTACAGTCCATGAAAATGGTTTATCCCAACAAAACCCTCTTGAGGGATTGAAGATATGATAAAAGGAAGGTTCCAGTTGAATGATAGTGTCATCAGTCACTTGCTTAAGCCTGTAGGCCATGAATCATAGTCTTCAAGAAATTGTAGCAAATAAGGATGCAGATTGTTCCATAACAACTATAAATTTATTAATGGTACACGATTAATAAAACTTAGGAAACATTAATTGATAAATTATTATTTTTTTAAATCTTAACTCTTAATCCAAAGTAGTAAATAATTAGACATTTGGCCAAAATGAACAAATAAAACAACTCATTCTTCTCTGATTGATAATATTTCTCTTAGTCAGTACAAACTAAGCCAGTCATAATACAAAAACAAAATTTTGAAATTAAAAAATAATACTTACCCACACATCATACTTTGCAAAAGAAGAATAATCTAAAATGGCTACACGCTCTCTGCAGGCTGCATATTCATCAGCAGCATAATGAAACCAAAGAGGTTTTGTCCAAGTCTTGGTAACAGCCATATGGAATGGTGCAGAATTATCACTATCACCAGAATAATCTGCAAAGTAAAGTTCATAAACCTTAATAGATACAAAGTTTCCTGCCCAATTCATAGGGTTAAGTTACTAAAACCCCTTGGCTTGTACATATAACTGCATATGAATTGCTTGTACCTGTGATGAAAATGGGGTTATGTTCCAGAGCAAAACATTAACGAATATTCCCCTTTAATCTCTAAAAAGCTAAATTGATCCTGAATTTTTTTTTCTACCAGAGCTCAGTGCCAGGTAGCTTGTTGTAATACAGGCATTCCATGTTCATGGATAACCCCAATTATTCAGCCTAGAAGTGACATTTTAATCGAATTAATACCATGCCTTCTTATCTCATCAAATAATTACCCCTAAATGGATCAAGTGTAATGGTTGCCCTCAAGAGACAAACATGTCTAACCAATTAGCACATACCACAAAAAAAGCTACAGCTCAGCCATCCTATATTGGTCCAATTCTGATTACAGTAATTGATTAACTTCTGAGCAAACTAAACCATGGAACCCAGGCAGTAGGAAGGTTGTTTAATTATTTCTTTATTCTGTAATATAATGTTGATACTTTATGAGAGATATAATGTAGTAAAATTAAGCTGGTGACTGCTCACCTGCTATGGCCACCATCATCCACCACTGTCCCCAAAGTATACTCATGCTGAATTTATATTTTTCTAATATAAAATATTTTTATATTGAACTTTATGTTTGTTATCTGTTCACATGATGATAATAATTCAGTCACTGATTTCTCATCAACAAATATAAATACAAGTGTTTGATAATCTGAACTTATAACTTATGCCTCCTTTTAGACCAGTTAATTCAAATTAATGATACCTTCTTACCTTCTGCGTCTACAATTTCTTTGGGTTGAAAGTAACTGGGGCGTTCGTATCCCATTACTTGTCCAAAGACAGCTCCAGCAGCCTTAAGTTTAGGGAATATTGGGGACATACGTAAACACCTTCCTGTAGTGAAGTCCGCAAATGGATAAGCAATACTGTAGTGAATTCCTGAAAATTTAAAGGAATCAATAAATTGTAAAACCAGAGAAGACAAGAAATTAGAGAATGCAGATTACTGCCAATCATACCCGAAATCCCTGCTAAGGGCAACTTAATGGCAATGTGTAATATCCATACACACAAGGACAGATAAAGCATTTTGTTTATAAATATGAGACACTGAGTTGGATGGAGGCAGGGAGGCAAGATGGAGGCAGGGGGGAGGCAAGGAAGCTGGCACTCCCATTTTCACTAATAATCAGCCTCTTATGGTGTATGTTTTATCATGCTTAATATAAAAT